CTCATCATCATCATCATCATCATCATCATCGTCATCGTCATCATCATCATCATCATCATCCTCATCCTCATCATCATCATCATCATCATCATCATAATCATCAGCAGCAGCATCAGCAGCATCATCAGCATCATCATCATCATCAGCAGCAGCAACAGCACCATCATCATCATCATCATCATCATCATCATCATCACCATCATCATCATCATCATCATCATCACCATCAGCATCATCATCCTCATCCTCATCCTCATCCTCATCATCATCATCATCATCATCATCATCAGCAGCAGCATCCTCATCCTCATCCTCATTATCATCCTCATCCTCCTCCTCCTCATCCTCATCATCATCATCATCACCATCATCATCATCATCATCATCATCATCATGCTCCTGCTCCCGCTCCTGCTCCTTCTCCTGCTCCCCCTCCTCCTCCTCCTCCTCTCCTCCTGCTCTCCTCCTCCTCCTCCGCTTCCTCCTCCGCTTCCTCCTATTCCTCATCCTCCCCCTCCCCCTCCTCCTCTTCCTCCTCCTCCTCTTCCTACTCCTCCTTTGCGAGGGCGGTCGCGGGGGGCGTCGCGGGCGGCGAGCGCGCGTCTTTGACCCCCGCCGTCATCCAGGACGGCAGCGTGAGGCCACGGCCACGCCCAGCAGCGACGACTTGGCGGTCTCCCCACGGCACCCCGGGGGGCAGGAAGCGCAGCGGGCGGGCACGACGGGGCGCGACTGCCCACAGCCCCGTACCTTCCACTGCTGCTGCTGCTGCTGCTGCTGATTCTCTTCTACTGTTGCCGATCCTCTTCGTCGTGTCGTTTGTGCAGTGTGCTGGTCCATGGCGCCGTCGCACGCTGTCCCTTGGCGCGCACGATTACAGACAAATTCGGGCCGCACGGACACATCACAAGCCAGCGGAGGGGGGGGCATCACCATTAATTGCAAGCTGACGTTGCTAGGGAGCACATGGGGAGGGGGAACACGGGAGGAGGGAGGAACAGGGAGGGGGGCCGACGGAGGGACGAGGAGGGGACGGATGGGAGGAACAGGTGAGGAGGAGGAGGAGGAGGAGGAGGAGGAGCAGTCGCGGCCAAAGGGGGCAGGAACACAGAGGACAGACCAAAGAGGGAGGCGGGGCGGAAGGGCGAGGAGGAGGGAACGATGACGAGGGCGTGTTCCCTCTGCCCCGGGCGCGCGAGGGCGCGCCCTCCCCCCCTCGCGGGCGTGGTCCAGCGTCCGGTTCGGGCTCCTCGCGGACGCGCCCCCCCCGAGCGGCTGTCCTCCTCCTGATGGATCCCGACATCCCATCCCGCCCTCCCGGCTGTCCACCCTTCCTCTCCTGCTCGTGGAAATGCTGCTCCTGCTCCTGCTCCTGCTGCTCCTGCTGCTCCCTCCTTCTCCTCCTCTTCCTCCTCCTCCTTCCCCCTCACTTTTTCTACACCGCCTCACGGTTCCTCACACATGCTTCCGTGTTTCTTATCCTCAATCACATGTTCCTCATCATATCTTCAGTATAATCTCAACTTCCTATCCCCCCTCATCCTCCTGCTCTTTCTCCTTCTCCTGCTTTTCCCGCACCGGTCCCTTCCCTGCTCCCAGCGCATCCCCCTCTTTTCCGCGCCCCTGCTCGCCCTTACCTTGACATCCGTCGATACGTTTTGTTCCACAAGCCGCGGCAACAGAGTTGCCGACCGCTTCCCGGGTCCAGGGGGCACCTCTTCAGCCTGGAACCGTGCCATGTCTGGCGGCCCCATGGACCTAACACGGCCCCCGGGACCCACAGGCGGGGGGGGGGGGGGGGGAAACTCCCAGATTGAGCAACACATTGGGCAACGTGACCCAAAATTTGCGGTTGTGCACCGTGGATGTGCAAGCTACGTGGTGCGCAAGCTATCTGGTGTGAGCTACGTGTTGCGGTGTACACGGTGCTATTGAGAGGCGGCCACGGGCGGCAGCGCGGCGGAGCCTCGATGGACCAGCCACGCGCACGAGGACGAGGCGGCCGCCAGGCGGGCACGGGCGGCAACGTTGCGAAACTTCGCTGGACCCAACCAAAGCACGTGGCGGCCACGGGGCGGCCACAGGCAGCAACTTGGCGGAACTTCGCCAGACCCGTCCTTCCCCAGAAGGAGTAAAAGAGTAAGAACCCCCAAGTGCAAACAGTGCATGGGGAACATCTCCTAGGAGATCTGGGCATCCCTCCGCCGTCACGACGCCCTCGAGTCGTGGTACTTAGGACTGCCCGGCAGACGCCTGGGCACAGCCCACCTTGTCTGGGGCGCAGGGCACGCAAGTGATTAGAAAGAGTGAATGGGACGACCGGCACACGGATTAGCTCGCTCGATGCTTCAAGCAGGCCTCCTCCAACTCCTCCTGGCTCGGCAAAGGTCTCCAGCACAAGAAAGAAAGACGGGGTCTCGGTCTAACCGTTCTCTCTTTTTTGGCCCCATTGAAAAGGGGACCTCGGCCGTGGATGTCAAAACAAGCCTCCTCAGACGAAGCCAAGACGAAAATAAAATCGTGTGAGGACTAATCGAAAATCTCTGAGATCCGGCAACTCTGGAGGATGTCTCGGCTGCCGCGGCCTTCTGAGAGCGTTCTGGAACGCTCTGAAAGCGTCCCCGAATGCTGTGGAACGGATTTAGCCTCGTCCCAGCCCCGCCCGACCATCTCCTCCTCCTCCTCCTCCTCCTCCTCCTCCTCCTCCTCCTCCTCCTCCTCCTCCTCCTCCTCCTCTGAAAGTGTTCCACAGCGGCTGCGGAGCGGATTCAGCCTCGTCCCAGCCCCGCCCGACCACCACCTCCTCCTCCTCCTCCTCCCTTTTCTCCTCCTCCTCCTACTCCTTCCTCCTCCTCCTCCTCCTCTCCTCCTCCTCTCCCCTCCTCCTCCTCCTCCTCCTCCTCCTCCTCCTCCTCCTCCTCCTCCTCCTCCTCCTCCTCCCAGTCGAGCGCGCGCGCGAGCGCGGCCGCGGCGTCTCCTTGTTCTTCCAGGCCGGCTCCGGGCGCCCGCGCCTCGGAGGCGCAAGGAGCGGCGGGCTCTCGGGCGGGGCTCCCCGGGAGGGCGGCGTGAGAGCGGCGGAGGGGCTCGAGCGGCAGCACGTTGAGCGGCGATCGCAAGTGGGCCTTACGAAGGAGGCCCTGGGACACAACTGGGCCTTGCGAAAGAGGCAGCACAAGGAGCGACGATCAGAAATGGGCACACATGCCCGGATTCCCCATGTTTTCCCATGTTTTCGAGGCTTTCGTCTTCCCCCCCTACTTCCCATGGTTTCCCATATTTTCCTGGGAGCCGACGATGAGCCGTGTGTGTGTGTTTCCCCTCCTGACTTACTCGAGATGGCATGACCTGACGCGGTGGTTTACGCGGGACGCCATCGCGGTACCTTACGCGAGCAGCTTACGCGCGGCCTTATGCGCGACCTTACGCGAGCAGCTTACGCGCCGATGTCAGCGCAGACGACCCCGTTTTGTTGCGTCGCTAAGTTGGCGGCGCGAACAAACAGGTGGAGGGAGGGGGGAAGGCTTCTTAGACAGAGGCTGCTTCTCAGAAGGCGCCGGCCTTACACCTGTAGATGAGGCCCGCGCCTTCTAAGAGGCGGGGGTGCATCTAAGAAACCCTCCCCTCTCCCCCGACTCCTCTCTGCACTCCTCTCTGCGCGTGGCTGGGGCAAAGGGGGATGGAGGATAGAGGGGCAGTGCATGCTTGTCATCGCCTGGACGTCCATTCCCAGTGTGTTGTTTGGTCTCGCGTGTGCTTTCTTCTCAAGGTGATCCACAGTGCTCCCAGGCTGTCCAGGTGTCTTCTGGCGCTGACCTCGCCGAGAAAAACGCACGCGTCCGAGCGGTGCCAAGAATGTGAGAATCTGCAGGCTGGTTTCTCCGTCAATGGATGCCAGTGGTAAGCCACTTGCAGATCGAATCCTCCGACCCTTGGGCATGTGTGCGACGCTGTCGTCGTCTCCGTCCTCTCCATCGTTGTAGTCGAGTCCCGAGAAAGATGAGGAACGAACAGAATAAAGAAATGTCGTAATTAAGTCGATTCCCTTCCCGCTTCCCTTTCCCTTCCCTGAAGAGGGGGGTAAGGGGGGGGGGTACGGAGTGGGGTCCCATGTCAAATTGCCACCCCCGGGGTCCCGGTAGTCCTACCTATGGACAGGGGGGACAGGGAGGGGTTCCCCCCTCTGTGTGGGGGCTGGCCCTGGTCCCGGCTGGCCCTGGCCCCAGCCCAAAGCCCTGGCGTCGGCCCTGGCCCAGGCACCAGCTCAGGGGGAGAAACATCGAGCTGGAATGGGTGATACAGTGCTGATGGCGATAGGCTCCCCGATTGCGCAACCGCATGCTCCTTGGAGGGTTTGGCCTATCAGGCCCCTATCGGCGATGATTGGGCGATTCGGGGTCGATGCATCAACCCCTGAGCCTGTCTCCCCCTATCGTTGCCACCTGGTTTTCGGGTGCAACTCGGGTCTCCAACGGCCGTTCAGGACGATCCGGGCACCCTGGGAACGGCCTCGGCGAGGCGCAGCTGCTGGAAGGCACCCGAGGCTGGAAAACCGCCGAGCACCGCCGAAATCGCCAGAACTCTGGGAAACCTCTCCCCCAGCGGTGCCCTCGGTGCATCCCCCCAAACGTTGCCACTGACAGGGCACCGTGCCCCAAAAGGCTCCTGACGCCCGCCGCGGGGCCAGTTTCGCAGGAAGGTAGCGAATCCTCCCCCAGGACAGGCCCCTCATCCTGGGCCTTGTTCTGATAGAGTTCCAGGGCTTGTGGAGGGCCCTGGAAGCCAAAATCAGGAGAAAAACTCAGTGCCCCCTTCGATCGGGCCCCGTTTCCAGGGGAACGAAACATGGCATAAACATACAAATTCGGAGGTCCGCCGGGCTTTCTTGGATCCACACTGGACCTCCCTGGCACGCGGAGCGCGCCAGGGGCGGCAGAGGGGGCCCAGCGCGGATCCGAGAAATCCGCGCGGACCTCCGAGTTTTTATGTGTATGTCATTCTTCGCTCCCCTACAGACTTGGAAACATTTCTCCTTACGGCACAACAACACCCAAAGAACAACCGACAGACAAACGAAACCTTCCGCACCCGACCCCGTCCTCCTCGCTGGACATGTGATCCAACCCCCCCCCCAGAAACTTCTAAACAGGCTCGTGCCGGGGGGGGGGGCCTGGGTGGGTCCACTCCTTGAAGTAGAACTGTAGAAGGAGAATGGGTGGAGCCTGGTTTGGGCGATTCGGCTTGGAACGTCCTCAAAGTCTGCCTGGTTGGGGCCCTGGTTTGGCCTGGTTGACCTTGTTTGGCTCGTCTGGGCGCCGCAAGCCGCCTGAGACATCCTCAGAATGAGCCGCAAGCCGCAAGCCGCGTTTGGCATGGTTTGGGCCCGGTTTCGCTTGAGACGTCCTTAGAAGTTGCTTGGTTTGGCCTGGCTTGGGCCTGGTTTTGCCTGAGACGTCCTCACAATTTGCCTGTTTTGCCATGGTTTGGGCATGCTTTTGCCTGAGACGTCCTCACAACTTGCCTGGTTTGGCCTGGTTTGTGCCTGGTTTTGCCTGAGACGTCCTCGCAATTGGCCTGGTCTGGGCACGGTTTCGCTTGAGACGTCCTCGCAATTTGCCTAGTTTGGCATTGTTTGGGCCCAGTTTCGCCTGAGACGTCCCTGCAAATTGCCTGGTTTGGCCTGGTGCGGGTCCTTCTTCGCCTGAGACGTCCTTGCAATGTGCAACGTTTGGCCCTGGTTCCCACGAAGCTCTTGCAACGCCCCTGGTTCGACTTGGCACGCTGTGCGCATAACAGGAGAAATATCCGCAAATTGCCCCGTCTCGGGTGCGGGCATGGCCCGACTACATCTTACACGTTCGCATCATCCTCTTCCTCCTCCTCCTCCTCCTCCGCCCCCCCCCCCTCTCCTCCACGTTCACAATCTTTTCATCATCCCCCACATCCAGATCAGCGGAAATTCAATGAGTTGCCCTCTGCAGAGGACAGGCCCGCAAGAATGTCGTTTGCTCAGTCTCGCCCACGTCAACGTCGTCGTAGTCGTCGTCGTGGTCGGAAAAATCATCATCGTCGTCGTCGGTGGCGTCGTCTGGGGGGGGCCGACGCTCCGAGACTGAAGGAAACTAGTCATTCACACACGTGGTGGGCGTGTCGATGTGTGTATGACAATGAACTAACATTTCACTCGCGTCGTGGGTGCAAACACGCGAACAAGACGGTGTGTACTGAACAACCATTCTGGCCCACATTCCGCACTGTTGTGCTACAGTATAATTGCGGCTATGGGCGTGGACATCCGAAGCGCAGTGTGTTCGGCCAGCCACTGCACCGCATAGTGCAACCATCACTCACACAAATCACCCTGTCATGCGGCATTGGACCATGCGGCGGCGTAAGGAGAAAAATCTTTCCCAGCCTGTAGTTTCCTTCATGGCAAGATCAAATACAACAAAAACGTGCATCCGATAGAATCAAACGGTGCACCGGATCGGGCTGCGGCGGCACTGCATCGAAATCCACTCGGCTCGGCTACGCCCAGATGCACCACGACACCGTGCAAACCTCGGGCCGCATCGGGGCCGTTGAAATAGTGGAGTCGAACCAGACCGGGCTGGCCGACATCGTTATCGAAACGGGCCGATCGGCTCGAATGGGACCCTGCCGACGATACTGTTGACGATTTGACGGTGTTGATGATGATGTTGATGATGGAATTGTTTCGAAGAAGAAAAACCACGTAAACAGAAACTTTTGGCACTCCGCGCGGATTGCTTGGGTTTGCGCTGGACCCCCCTCCCTGGCGCGGAGCGCGCCAGGGGCGGCGCCGGAGGAGCCGCCAGGGGGGTGTCCAGCGCGGATCCAAGACATCCGCGCAGTGCGCCAAAAGTTTCTGTTTATGGCGATTCTTCTTCTTCGAGGCATTGCTGGTCGACATCGATTCGGACCGCTCGGATCGAAATGGACCCTGTCATTAGAGGCCTCCTAGATGGGGTCGGAGCAGATGGGGTCGGAGGATCGCGCCGCATCGCCGACTCATCGGCGATGCATCGGCGATGTATCGGCGATGAATCGGCGATGCCCCGACGATGCTTCGTCGACGTCGGCGTGAAGCAACTCGGGATCCGCATCGAGCCGCATCGCCGACGCATCGGCGATGCGGCGCGATCCTCCGACCCCACCTACTCGGACACCATCTAGGGGCCTAGACTATAGACGAGCGCGTTCCACTACTCGCAAAGTGACTACTCGCAAATGGCCTGGATCCCAATCTTCGGGTGTTGCTAGAATTGCCCCTGGCCCAAGAAGCCCGTAGCTTTTCGCTCAATTCTGGAGCCCCTGGGGGCCCTCTGGGCCTCGTGAGGAGTGCTCTGGAGGCCGCCTGGGCCACCCCGAGAATAGGGGGGGTACCTTTGGGCCAGGGGCACTTCTAGCAACACCCGATATCTAGGGGCCTAGCCTATAGACGAGCGCGCTCCACTACTCGCCAAGTGACTACTCGCAAATGGCCTGGATCCTCCGCGGAGGATCTGCGAGAACTTGCACCGAAGCAGACGTGTGCTTTTCGGACGTTTGCGACTAGGCACTTTGCGAGTCTCGGGCATTGGCAGAACTGGGTTTAATGGAACCTGGTTTAGTGATTTGTACCGGGGGGCGCCCCCCCGTCCCATTTCCACTAACCGGAACTGCCGTCACCCGAAAAACACCAGTTACGGCAAACCTGGTTTAGTGAATCTGGCCAATTGAGGGGACCCAGGGCCCTACCACTAACTGGGTCCCCTTTCCCGGGGTCCTGGCTATACCCGAGAGTCGTGGAACGCGCTCGGGGCCTGGAGTCGTGGCGACCCAATGCCGGCGCGCCGGCGATGCCGGGCCCCGGGCCCAGCGGGGCCGCGCACGGGCGACAGCCTTGGCTGCAGGGCGCGGGTCGTCGTCGTCGCAGCCGCCGCCTCCGCTGCCGCCCGTCGTCGTCATCGTCGCCTCCGCCGCCGCCTGTCGTCGTCGCCGTCGTCGCCGCCGCCGCCGCCGTCGTCGTCATCGTCGTCGTCGTCGCCACCGTCGTCGCCGCCGCCGCCGCCGCCGTCGTCGTCGTCGTCGTCGAGATCGTGGTGGTGGTGGTGGTGGCCGCCGTCGTCGGGGTCGTTGTGATTGTCGTCGTCGTCGTCGGGGTCGTTGTGATCGTCGTCGTAGTCGACGAGGTTGTGGTGGTGGTGATCGTCGTCAGGTCGTTGTAATTGTCATCGTGGTCTTCGTCGTGATCGTCATTGCCGGTGTCGTTGTGGGAGCGCAGGCGCGGCGGAGAGCCGACGCCGATCGTCTCCCTGCAAGTGGGCGGGCGCGACAATGGCTGTCTGTGTCCAGGTCGGCCTCAACAAGGGCTGGGCTGCGAGCTGCTGCGGCGGTGTTTCTCAACTATCGGGCGGCTATGTTCACGCGTCGCGCTTCGAGAAGCGCGAACCACATCGCTCTGTCGTGCCGCCCCGCCCAGGAAGAAGAGGGGGAGGAGGAGGAGGAGGAGGAGGAGGAGGAGGAGGAGGAGGAGGAGGAAGATGAGGACGAGGACGAGGACGAAGAATGCAACATCGCGAGATGACTCTGCGCCCTTGCAGCAGCCCGTTGCTTCCCGGGTGCTGGCAGAAGGAGGCCCTCGGTCTCCTGGCCCGCTGGGCGGAGGTCGAGGCCGAGGCAGCGGTGGCAACTCCCTCGATCCTCGGAGACGAGGCCCCTCCTGGAGCTCCCCACGTGGCGTAGGCTACCGATCAGATCTGTGTGCTGCGAGATGTGCGGTGTCGTGTGGTGTGGTGTGTGCCGCAGGCTGTGCGGCACAGTCTCTGTGGTGCAGGCCGCGTGGCAGGCGCCTCATCCTGCCATCGCAGGTGTCGAGGTGGGCTGCGGCGCGGAGCGCAGCGCGGAACGCATGGAGATATGCAGCGGCAGTGTCGCCCACGTACGCGTGGAGCGGTATTGGTGAAAGCACCTGCGGTCGAAATCTGTAGGAAAGACGGGAGGTCAGGACGCAGTGGCCTTGGACGCCGATGTTGGCACTTTTTGGGCGGCGCACTGCCAGCACCCTGAAGGGCTGGCCGATGAAAACCGCGAAGGACGGGCCGCAGAAGAGAGGACGAAAGGTTACCCCAAGGATATCCGTGCGTCCTCACTGTGAATTTTGACTGTTTGGCGGCCTGGCGTTTGACTGGTGTTCAAGGCGGCCGGGGGTCTGCACCAGCTGGGAGCCAGTAATATCGGTCAGGACGGGGGGATGAGGCCAAATCCGTTCAAAATCGGTCCCTGGACCTCTCCTGGGGTCCATCCCGTGCAATTTTGCACCCTGCCGGATCCTTTTGACGGCCCCGGAGCCCGAAACAGGCGCCCAGAGACCGAAAAAGGCTGAACACTTCCTCGAACCCAGAACATCGAACCTCTCCACTCGGCGGTGGACAAACCTCTCTTTAGTAAACCTCCATGTAGTGAAAACGGCCTAGGACCGAAACCGACGGTCCTGGACCCGCAAAAATGACGTCCGCGACGCCCTCTCGCGAACCGAAAACGGCCAATTCGCTAGTCGACGTGTCAGGGTAGAAGCTCTGCCCCCCCCCCGCACCCCCCCTTTCCTGCTGGCCGGCACCCCTGCCGGGCAACCTCCGGGCACCCAGCCAGCTCCCACCTACGGCGGCCCGGCCCGCGTGTGGCGGGCGGCCTGGCGCGCGCGGCGGACGGCGGCCCGGCGCGTGGCTGTCTTGCCTGTCGTGCGCCTGGGGGGGGCCTGGCGGTGCGACAGGTAGGCGGCGAGGAAGGGGGGGAGGCGGGAAGGGGCGGGCCTCCTCCTCAGCAGGCTCGGAAGTCCCCAGGCTTTCGGAGGAGTTGCCCAAGCCTTCCCCGAAGACCCAGAAAGCTTCCCAGAGGGCGCGAGGGCTCCCGAGAGGTCCCGCCGCCTTCTGAGAAGGCCTTCTCCTTCCCACTCCCCCCCCTCGCTCGCCGCCGAACAGGGCGAGCGGGCCGTGTGCGAGGACATCCACAAGGGCCAATGTCGGATGAGCGTTCCGTCGGAGACCATGCCGCGGAAAGGAGCTACATTTAGGTCGGGCATGTCCCCCTACAGGCGGACTTTCGAGGAGAAATCAAACATAGTCAAACAATACTCCAAAATGGTCAAAAGTAGTCGAAAAATCGTCCCCAGACTATGTTTTGACTATTTTTGAAGATTCCTCCAGTGGACAGGAGGCCCCCGGCTTAAAAGCTACATGTAGTCACACGAGGCGCCTGCTCTGACTGATCTTGAACGCCGCCCACACGTGGGTGTTCACGGCAGCGGCGGAGGAATACCCGTACGCACGCGGTTCCTCGATGCGCAGTGGACGAGGCGCCGAAGGAGGGAGCGCGCGGCACGCCGGAAGGTGGGGGCACGTGCCGTCGAGTCCGTCGGATGGCGGCGCGGGGTTTGACACGAGCCTGGAGCTCTGGATATGCCCAAACGAAACAGATGACGCAAGGACCTGGTGCGGGCAAGGTTCGTATCCATATCCAGTGCGTCTTGGATTTTTTGGGAAGGAGCGTCACCTGGGAAGGATTGGGGGGGCAAGGACGGGGGGAAGGATTGGGGCGGCGTGGCACGGCCTGGGAAGAACGCGGAGGGATTGGGAAGGACACTGGGCAGGCGGGGAGTGTCGGATGGCTCTGCGGCTCGCCCTCGCGCTCCCCCCCACGCGTGCAGCTCTCCACGGAGGCACGACGCGGAGGCCCCCCCCCCGCTGCGGCTGCCCACGCCCTGCGCGGCCGCACTCGAGCGGGCGCGGCGCCCCGGAGCCGCGAGGCGCCCTCCTTGGCGGCCTGGCGGCAGGCCCCGCCGCCCCGGGCCCCAGGACGAAGCCAGGAAGAAGACAGACTCGGGTGAGGATGACTTGACCCGGGAGACGTAAGACATCGGGTACGGGGGACTCGGGTTGGCCTGACGTGGGATGCACAAAGACGTACTAGTACTATATGTCATCCTTGGACGCGCGCGTCCGACCCGAACATATAGTATACCCATCTTGTAGTATATCGTTTCCCGAGCGGTGTGGCCAGAATGCGCCCGCCACAACGCATATACTATAAGATTCCTCGGTGCGCGCGTCGCCCCTGGGAGGGCGACGCACATATAGTATAAGTATGTTGGGTTGGCCTGGCGGGGCCATCATGAAGACGACGAGACCCACTCTGAAACTTGGCGCGAACTCCCGCTGCAAACATCCCACGAGAACCGGACCGTCAAAATCCAGGACGCGCTCGTTAAAGAACTTCGGCAAACCCGAGTCCCGGCTTACTCGAGTCTTACGTTTGCCCGGCTTGAGAATCTCTGAGGTCCAGCGGCTCTGGAGGATGTCTTGGGCACCGCGGCCTTCTCGCAGCGCTGCGGAACGCTCTGAGAGCATTCCGGAACGCTCTGGAACGGATTTATCCTCGTCCTGCCATCGCTCGGACGTCCACTCCCCGTGTTTCTGTCGCTTTCGTGCGCGTTGTTTTCGCGAGAGGATCCAAGATGTTCCTCCATGGTCCCCGCCGAGCAAAAAAGCACACGTCCGAGCGATGCCAAAAGTCGTCCTGGCCCCGCACGAGGCCCCGCAACAGCCTCTCATGCGCGGCCCCTTGGCGGAACCCGGAACTCGAGGGTGACCGGCAGGGGCAGCTCCTTCAGGCGCCGCTGGACCTCCTCTTCGGATCGCCGAAATGGTGCAAGGGGCTTGGATCGACCATGCGCAGGCAGCCCCAGGCCCCCCCGAAAACATAACACCGCATGGAACCACACGAAACTGTAAACAACCAGGATGTCACGCAAATGCATGACATCAGGTAGAGAGATTGGAACAGCAGAAAACCACAAGAAACTGTGGCCCCGCGAGAGGCAAGCGTCGTCATCACCGCCGACGTCATCGTCGCCGTCGGCGTCGTTGCCACCGTCGTCGGGGTGGTCGTCGTCGCCATCGCCGTCGTCGTCGCCGTCGTCGTCGTCGCCGTGGTGGTTGAGCCCAACGTCCAGAAACAGCGTGAGTCATCCAATTGTGCGGGTAATTTGTGCTTCCATATCCACTGCGTTTTGGAGCTTCGGGCTTCCTTCCCTCAAAGGCGCAGTGGATATGGATACGAATCTGGCCCCAGAGGCGTGATTTTTCCTATAACCACTGCAACTCGGCGTTTCGGCGCCCCATCCCAGAAAGTTCAAGACGCAACGGATATGGACATAATTATTCGAGGAACCCAAAGGTACCAATATTGCTGCTCCCTGGACCTCTCCTGGAGCACGTTCTGCACATCGAGGCGAACCCAGCGGTGGCGACGAGGGCCTCCCAAGAAGCCCCAAAAGGGGAAAACGCGGCGAGGGCAGTGGTACTGGTTCTTGCTTCTCCTTCGAATAGATATAGCTCTTGCCCGCAAGATCGGCACCCAGAATTCCTGACCATCACCCCGTACCCGCGCATGGTAGTCAGCTGGGCGGGAGCCCTGCTCCAGGGAGACCCTCAGAAGCAGCCCTGAGGACTCTGACCCACGCTGGCGTCGTCGTCGTCCCCTTTCGGGGTCGGCGGCGCCGGCCGTAAGGCCTTCGCAGTATGCGCCCGAATCGCCGAACCGCCACCTCGTAGGCCCCACGTGGTGGTCAGCGGGGAGCGGTGGCAGCCTGCGCGGACGGCCCGCACGCAACGGGCCGGCCCGCTTGCAAGAGTCACGCAGCGGTGGCCGGGCCTGGTGGGCCAGCTTTCAACTGCGCAGGCAGGCAAGGGCCGAGGTCGTCGTCGAGGTCGTTGTGACCGTCGTCGTCGTCGTCGAGGTCGTGGTGGTGAACGTCCGTCGTGGGGGTCGTTGTGATCGTCGTCGTCGTCCTCGTCGTCGTCGTCGTCGGGGTCGTTGTCGTCGTCGAGGTCGTGGCATGGTAGTGGTCGTCGTCGTCATTGTCGTCGTCGGAGTCGTTGTCGTTGCGGTTGTCGACGTCGTCGTCGTCGTCGTGGTAACGGTGGCCGTCGTCGTCGGGATCGGCGTAAACGGGCAAGAGGCGATCGATATTTTACTCATTAGGGGAGCAAGCAATGACATTAGCATCACAATTCGGAGGTCCGCATATTTAAGGCGGTGTTTGTTCCCCGATCCCATGCCCCTGCGCAAGCCCCAGCTCCTGCGAGGCGTCAGAGCGGCGACGTGGATAGATAGGCGTCTGGCCTCAAGAGCCACGTTTGCTCATCCGTGCCATGCTGCCCCTGGCGCCTAGAGCGGGGGTCGGCAGCGGGGGTATGGACCGAGTGTCGATCGCCGAGACGACAGTGACCACCAAGTCGTTCATTCTCGGAGGCGGCGGGGGGTCCGAACTGGTTAGGGCCCAAAGCCATATCGGTCAAGGGGGGATGGGGGCGAATCCCGTCAAAATCTGTCCTCGGGCGTCCACCTGGTTCCGTTATTCGAAACAGGTTTGACGGTCCGCGGGCCCGAGAACGCCCCCTGGGGATTGAAAAGGATAAAGCACATTCTCGAACCCAGCGCCTCGAACCTCCCCCCCACCCTTTGTGCTGGCTGGAACCAGTTACCTCAGACCCCCAGCTGGCTCCAAGCACAAACCTCGGCGGCGAGCCCAGGGCGGGAGTCCAAGGGGGCGGGCGGCCTCAGAAGGCTCGGAAGGCCTCTGGCCCTCCTGAGCTGAAAAAAATGAGACGGCTTCTCAGAATGCAGGAGGGCTCCTTAGAAATTCCGCCCCTTCTGAGAAGGCCTGCCCCTCTCACTTCTCGAGCAGGGGGTCGATCGCATAATCGATATACCCTAGAACTGTTTTCCGTCGAGCGTACGAAACGTACTCATGATGATCACATGTCTACGAACATTGATTGAATGCAATGCTCGTAGACTCGAGAACACATTGTGGGATAACACAAGTCTGCAGTCGATCTCCTACTCGAACTTCCCCTCGCGCGCGCCGCCCACAGCCACCAAGCCTTTCATTCCAATCCTCGGAGGGGAGGCTCGCCACCTCGTCGCCGTTCAGGCGCGCCGCCAGCCAGCCAGCGCGCACGCCCAGGCGCGCCGCGGGCTTCGAGGGGTCGTTGTGGTTCACCTTCTCGACCAGGTAGCCCAGGCCGTCTGCGCTCTTCTCGGCGGCGAGCCCAGGGGGGAGGTGAGAGGGGGCGGGCCTTCTCAGGAGGCTCGGGAGGCCTCGGGCCTTCTGGGCCGCTTTGCAGAGCCTCGCCGGCATTCTTCTAGCAACGTGACAGTGCAGCGGCTCCGTGGGAGTCCGCAATGAACAAGTGGAGCCCGACGCAATTGGGGCTGCTTTTTTCTGCACCAGCGCTCTCATGTTTCCTCCTGCTCGCGCGCCGTCCGGCGCAAGGCCTACGCTCGCTCCCCCCCGAAAACACGGGAAACTTCCCAGAAGGCCGAGGGGCTGCTGAGAAGCCCCCGCCGCCTTCCGAGGAGGCCTGCCCGCCCTCCCGCTTTCCCCGCCCCCCCCTGGCTGGGTAGTCGAAGCCAATCTGGCAGGCCCAATCTGGCAAACGGGGGCAATCTGGCGAGGGAGTCAACGCGAATCCAGTCTGGCGAATAACCCAAATCCTCCAATATGGCCAAGCCGGATTGGCCCTTGGGGCCCAATCCAGTCTCACAGTCTGGCCTTCGACTACCCCCCCTGGTGCGCGCCGCCGACTCTGGAACAAGAGAAACTGCGCCCACAGGTGGCGGGCTCGTGTCGTGGCGACCCCGGCGTTCGCCTCTGGCACTGCGCGGATCGCTCCACAACCTCGAGCTCGAGCGACCGGCGGTTTGCCCGTCGCCAGGCCGTTCCATTCATTGGCCGACTCTGGCCCACTGGCAGGGTTCAGCCCTGAACGCCCGCGGCGGGGTCGCGGCACGACGGGAAGCTGCCGTGACCTCTCGGAACGCCGCGCCGGTCCACGAAACCGGCGCGGACCTCCGAAAGGCTCTGTCTGAAGTGGAGGCCAGTCCACAAGAAGCCTTCCAAAAGAATCCCGACCCTGAGACCCAAAGGCGCCCACTGATTTTTGGTGTGGGAACGTCGCGCTATCCACAGCAAGAGCATCTAAGCTCAAGAAACCCAGGGCACCCTGGAGGCAAGCAGGGTGTTTCTTGGCATGGGTCTCCACTGCATGCAGTTGTTTCTTACTCGACTCTTTGCCGGCGTCATGCCGAAGGGGCGCGACTCGAAGGTCACCGTGGCGCTGCGCCAGGGCCTCGAAGGGCGCTCGCCGTCGTCGTCGGCGGCGCCCTCGCCCCGCCACTCCGCCGCCAGGGCCTCCAGCAGGGGCCAGAGGTCCTCGCCCCGCTCCCGAAGCAGCCGCGAGAGGCCCGCGGAGACGCCCCGCTGCCTCGCTGCGGCGGCAGCGGCGCGCGACCCATCGCTGCCCTCCCCCGAGCCGCCGCTGACCTGCAGCTCCACGACCTCCGTCCACTCCCTGCTCCCGTGCTCCTCCCGTGGGCGGCAGGCAGAACTCCGTGCCCGCGGGGCCGGGCCGAGCCCCCCCGGGGCCGCGACCCCGTGGATCTGCAGGGCGCCCTCTCGCGGCTTCCCCCCGCGCGGAGCGCACGAATGAGCCCGCGCCTCCGCGGGATCTCTCCCTTGGATGGGACGCGCAGAGGCATACTCGTACTAAGTGTCCTCCTTGGAGCGCGCGTCCGAACCGAACACGTGGCAGACCCATCTTGTAGTAGATCGTTTCCCGAGCGGTGTGGCCAGAAAGCGCCCGCCACGGCGCATATACTACAAGATTGCTCGGTGCGCGCGTCGCCCCTGGGCGGGCGACGCACATGTAGTACAAGTATGCTGGGGTGACGCCGATTGGCCCCGGGCCTCCAGACAGCGAGGGTGGGGATGTGGACACTTTTGATGGGCCTGTCTTCCACCACCACCACAAGTTGGAGGGGGGGAGGAGGAGGACGAGGAGGAGGAGGAGGAGGAGGAGGAGGAGGAGGATCCTTCCCCCTCCAACTTATGGTGGTGGTTGTGGTGGAAAATAAGCCCACCTACTTTCGCCGCTCATGATCCTCGGCGATGGCGCGGACGTCGTCCGCCAGGGACGTGCACCACTCCTCCGCATCCAGGCCCCGGTCCGCGAGGAGCCCGGCCAGCTCCCGGAAGGCGCGCAGGGAGCGCAGCCGCTTGAGGCCGGGCCGCGCCTGGGCCCACGCCAGGAGCAGCTCCTCCCGCGGCGCCGCCATCGCATCCCCGCCGCGGGGCGGAGGATGGGGGGGGGCCCTCTGCGTGAGCCGTCTCGAGCCGAAGCGGCCACGGAAGGATTGGGAGGATCGAGACCTGCACTGCCTGAACGAAACACCACCTGAGCGACGATCAAACACGGGTCTTACGCGAGATGGCATAGCGACCTTACGCCGCGGCTTACGCGGGCCGCCAGCGCGGAACACCTCGTGGGGAACGCGGGCCGCCGCACTGCAAAAGCTAGCACAGACCGGCGCCGCAGGCAACGGAGCGCCGGCCCTGGACTCGCAAGACCGTCCGCCATTACGCCTCGAACGTTCCGAAATCTGCCAGCCGTCCTCTGCCATCTCCGTCATCGCCGTCGTCCCTCTGATCCTCCTGCCTGCAACCTCCACCCTCTTGTTTTCGCTCCTCCTCGCTCGTCTCCGGCATCGAGCGACGGGTAAGCTGATCAGTGCAATTGAAGTATGTATGCGTCAGAGGTCCTGCGTCACGCCTGCGCACTCTGTGCATGGGCGTCAATCGCAATGTCTGGCACAAAAACAATACGATTGTACAACAACCACCGCATGTGCGTGAATGCCACTACCGGCTAGCCTCCATGACGCAACACATATGGCATTGGCGCCGGCATTGAGTTCGGCTACGCATGCCGCCCACTGATGCAATATCCAACTTCGTCGTCGTGTCCCCACCGCACTGCATGCCAAAATGACGTGAACGACACGGGATTGGCGACCGCTTGGCCGCTGACTCTTTCTTTTTCCCTTTGCTCTTCGTCTTATCCTCGCATCGGCGCGAAGAAGGGGCACCAGAAGGACAACATTTCGAGCAAGAAACTTGACCTGCCACAACGAGCAATTACAAAACCGCTGCATGCCGAGCCATGCGACGCGTTCAAATTGCATGGATTGCTGGTCTTGCACGTGCTGCGCCCGACCTGATGGGCTTGCAGGCAGCAGGCCGAGTATGGCTTTCAGGGCCATGGCGCGACAAGAGCAAAATCGCATGTCCAGTCTCACGGTACATGCCTCGTGGGAGGACATGAATGTGATGGGCATCCTCCTGCTTCTCATTGTCCCCGGTCTGTTCCCGTTGCTGCTGTTGCTTCTCTTGGAAGATTCCCGGGATCCCTGGCTATAGGAATGTGCTGCGAAAATAGACGGATGATTACAGAGAGAAAAGAGGGGAAGGCGGACAGATAGGGAGGGAGCAAGCTAGGTACGTTCACGCCCTAGGGAACAACACGTTGAAACATCAAACAATACCGATAGAAATAAGCACATGAAATACCACCGTTTGAGATCCTGTGCGTTTATAAAGAAAAAACGAACTGTGGGAGAAAACCTCCCCCGCTCGGGCTGGATCCGAGGAGAGTGTAAGGTGAATCTTCAAATCATGCTGGCACTCAGGGGGTTCACACTCCTCTCACAAACGGCTCCGTGGGGTCCGGCAGGGGGTCCGCAACGATGCCGCCCGTTGCCGCCCAATAGCCGCCTCGTGCGCCGGGAGGGTCCAACGAAACTTCGCCACGCCGCCGCCCGTGGCCGCCCTGTGGCCGCCTCGTGCGCTGGGCGTGTCCAGCGAGGCTTCGCCACGACCGCCTCGTGGCCACCTCGTGCGCTGGGCGGGTCGCGGGCTTCCGCCGGTTTGCCGCTTCGCTGCCGCCTCCAGCTTGCACCACGCATACTGCACCACATACCTTGCTCATCGACGGAAGAACGCGTTTCACGGGCGCCTGCCTTGGGAACATTCGGCGGCGCGTTTCGAACCGGGGGGGGGGGCCCCCGCCCCAACACGCGGCGACGTCGATCAGAACAACCCGCCCCCTCCATCCAGGGCGAACGCGCTCTTTCTCATCGACGGTGCAGTAACTCACTGTTGGGGGTCCACGCTGGCTAACGAATTCGGGTTTAGAATCTGCGCAAGGCTGGAAGGAAAAGGTGGACCAGTGGACCAGGAAGGGGGGGTAGGGGAGGAAGGGGCCGAGAGCGGGAAGGGAGAATGAAGAGAAAGTCCAAGGAAGTACTGAGAGTATGGCGAACTGTACACAACGAGTGGGCATGATGGGCAATCACGAGAAAGAGGGGGGCCTGGGAACTCTAAAAGACCGCGGAACAGAACAAACATTCGGAAGATTTGGGGACAAAGGGATGCGAAGAAACGTGCAGACCTCGTGATAAGTAAACCATAATGCCGGCGCAGATTGTTCACACATTTCGGCGCCCAAATTGCTGGGCTGAAGGTTGGCTTGAATTCACTCGTGAACCGTTGGTGCGACCGTACCTGCAGTGTTTGAAACGGAACCAAGAGAGGGACGGATGAGATTGTTTGCTGTGGTGCACGCACTCCCCTGCGAACGAGCCACGAATTGCACCAAGCCCAGCAGGCCAGGAGCCACGCGAAGACCACCCCCAGACAGGCCAGCCCGCAAGCGAAGCCTTGGCTTGCGCAGCGAACCCCACAGCGCCAACACAGAAAGGGCGAGGACGAGGGCGAGGAGGAGGGAGAGTGGGTGTACACTCTGTGCCCGTTCGGGCTGGCATCTGCACGACTGCCTCTTTCGCCCTTCTCGATCCGCAACGCCTGCCCGACTGAACTGGTTGGTCTCTAGGCCTTAGTCGGCCGAGCCACCCTACGCTACGCGCAGCGTCAGAAAAGGGAGTGGGCAGCTGGGAGTGGGGAGGAACGAGGACAAGGAAGAATTGAGCAGGGACCGACCGCCCCTGCAATCCTATAATTAGGTCTTGCACGAATTGATATTAGAAGCGGGAAATGCTCTCATACCACCAAGCTGATGTTCTTAGATCAGAATCTCGACGTGTTCAAACACGACAGTCTTAGCCAGAAGCGTTCGAAGAACAGTTCGTGCAGACCACCAAAGGTTCTCAGAACACTTTTGGTGGGCCTATAGGACAGCCGGGACGTTTCGCCACTGCTCGAAAGAACAGATACACGTGCATATCGCCCGTTGGCTTCCGCTGGCCTGCGTGGACTGCCAACCCCTGTGGGCGCGTGCTTGGGCGCGCGAGAGGGCTGCAGTAAAAATGAATGCGACGCTCAATGACTCAGGTGCTGCTAGTAGTGCCCCTTTTAGAGTCCTCCTAGATGGGGTCGGGGTAGATGGGGTCAGAGGATCGCGCCACATCTCCGATACATCGGCGATGCTCCAGCGATGCATCGTCGACGTCGGCGATGCATCGGCGCTATCGACGTGAAGGAACTCGGGCTTCACATCGAGCCGCATCGGCGAAGCATCGGCGATGCGGCGCGATCCTCGGGGACCTAATCTACTCCGACCCCATCTAGGTGGCCTAGACTGGCGCAAGGTGCCCCAGGGATTTCCAAGGAGGCCCCCACAGCCTCCAGACCACCCTCACCAGTTCCAGAGGGCCGCGGCCCAGGGGCTCAAAAATGAAGCGAAAAGCGGGGGGCACCTTGGGCCAGGGGCACCTCCAGCCCCCCCGAAAGACACTTAGCGGGGTTCGAACCCCGCTGGGTCCGAAGTAAGCCTGGCAACGTCCGTGGCGACACGGACAAGGAGACCAGGAGATTGCTTCATACTATTGCCAGGTAGCGGTCGTTACCTTGAATAGAAGGAGGTTGGGGCAACGAACAACGGAACTATTTGGGCGGGGTGGGTGCGCTGCGATCGCCATAGTACGCGCCCGAACACCAATATGTACGGGGGGGTCCTACTGCCCTGTCGTACTATCGCCACCGATGCCCCAAGGGGTGGGGGACAAAGGCTTTGGCCCGGGTATCGAACGTTACGTGCCCAGGGATGAACAGACACCATCTCCTGTTCAACAAGAACCGGAAATGATGTCGTTCTTCGCATCGATTTTTTCCCTACACGCTTCGATCGTACCGGGCCGAGCGTGCGCACGCGGCGTGGAAGGGGGGTCCCAGCCTTGACCTTCTTTTCGCCCTTTTTCACGCCTTTCTTCTTCCCTTCGGCCTGCCACCCAGGGGCACCCGCCGCGAAGCCCCAGCGGCGGCCACGACTTCGGCGCTCCTCCTCCTCCTCCTCCTCCTCCTCCTTATCCTCCTCATCCTCATTCCTTTTTCCTGATAAATAACTTCTCCCTGTCGCACCCCGAGGCCATTTTTTAGGGCAGGCTGAGCGTTTCGCCTGAGACCCCCATCACCATGTATGACACTGAAGCCTGAAAAGTGGCAACAGGTTCGCAGATGGAGGGCGGGTCGTTTTCAACATGTGTCTCTCGCCTCAGCGCCGCGCACATTCGATCTTAACAAATTGCAAGAGTTTCAGGGATTGAGCGCGGGTCGTTTTCACAATGTGGCTCTCGCCCTAGCGCCGCGCACATTCGTATTCAAAAATCGCAAGAGTTTCACTGATTGAGGGCGGGTGGTTTTCAAAATGTGGTTCTCGCCCTAACGCCGCGCACATTCGTTCAGCGAAGTTGCAAGAGTTTCAGGGGTTTCCGTGGTCGGAGTACCAGAAATGGTGTGCTGGAAGGATTCAGGACCATGAAGGTGCAATGCTTAAGTTTGTTCGCTGAGTTGAAGTCCCAAAAATGGTGTCTGGCACGATTCAAGATCGACAAGACGTAACAGTCAGGTTGACTCGTGGCGTTGGAAACCCGAGAACAATGTTGTGGCATGCTTCAGGGTCTTCAAACAGTTGTCTTCCAAAGAAACAGTTCCCTCATTGGAAATGAAACCTTGTCGGGGCCTATGGAGATGGAGCTCGGAGGAAGGGTTCATTCCAACATCGCTGATGGTTCTTGGGTTTCCACTGGTCCTCCTCCTCCTCATCCTTCTCTTCCTGCTGCTCATGCTCCTGCTCCTGCTCCTGCCCCTGCCCCTGCTCATCCTCCTCCTCCCTTTCCTCCCCCCCCTCCTCCTCCTCCTCCTCCTCCTCCTCCTCCTCCTCCTCCTCCTCCTCCTCCTCCTCCTCCTCCTCGTCCCCCTCCTCCTGCGACAACGAGGGGGTCCTTCTCCTCCTCCTCCTGCTCCTCCTCCTCCTGCTCCTCCTCCTCCTCCTCCTCCTCCTTCTCCTCCTTCTTCTCCACCTCCAGCGACGCCCAGAGAGCTCACTCCTGCTCCTCTTCCTCCTACTAGTGCTCCTTGTAGTCGTCGTCCTCATTCTCCTCCTCTTCCTCCTCGTCCTCCTCCGCCTAGCTCCTCCTCCTCCTGCTTCTCCTCCTATTCCTCCTCATCCTCCTCATCCCCTCCTCCTCCTCCTCCTCCTCCTCCTCCTCCTGCACCTCCTCCTCCTCCTCCCCTCCTCCTCCTCTCCTTCCTCTATCTCCTCTCTCCCCCGCCTACGCCCCCCCCCTCCTCCCTCTCCTCCTCCTCCTCCTCCTCCTCCTCCACCTCCTCCTCCTCCTCCTCCTCCTCCTCCTCCTCCTCCTCCTCCTCCTCTCCTCCTCCTCCTCCTCCTCCTCCTCCTCCTCCTCCTCCTCATCCTCCTCCTCCTCCTCCTCCTCCTCCTCCTCCTCCTCCTCCCCCCCATCCGCCCTCCTCCTCCGCCCTCCTCCCTTGCTCCCGCCCCTGCCCCTGCTCCTCCTCCTGACTTTCCTCCCCCTCCTCCTCCGCCTCCGCCTGGTCCTCCTCCTCCCCATCCGCCCTCCTCCTCCACCTCCTCCTCCTCCCTTCTCCCTCCTCGCCCACCCCTTATCGACAAAACCTCCCCGTCGCATGGACATGTCGGTAGGGTGGGACAGGCGTTTCACCTGAGACTGCCTCACCATGTATGATCGTCATGGATGGAGCGCGGGTGGCGTCCAACATGTGGCTCCCGCCTTGGCACCGAGCGCACTCGTCATACACACGTGTATCATACTCAAAGATGGAAGGCGGCTGAATTTGAAAAGGTGGGGATCGCCGGAGCGCCGTGCACAGTCGCCTTCATAATCTGCAGCAGCCGCAGGGATGGAGTGCGGGTGGTTTTAGAAATGCGGTTTTCGCTTTCACGCCGCGTGCACTCGTCTTAAACAATCGCAGCAGTGTCAAAGGGTGGAGGGCTGTTCATTCTTCAAAATCAAAGTGTGGTTATCGTTCGAGCGCCGCGCACATTCGTGTTAGAAGATTGCAACATGTATAGATGTTCGTGATACAAATCTCAGGAACGGTTGTCTGACATGACTTGAATTGCCAGTACGCCGTCGTCACGTTGAATCGCGGTGCTGAAATCCCAAGGCTCGTATGTCGGCAAGATTGTCTTCAAATGGGGCACATCCCGCAATGGAAATCGATTATTTCAAGGACCTACGGGTTATTGCAACATCGTTTATGCGCCTTGAGTTTACACTGGTCCTCCTCTTGCTCTCGTCATCCCCCCCTTTTGTCCGCACAGTCCTCCTAATCCAGGCCTCCATCCCTCCTCCGCCGCGTCCTCCTGCTCCTCCTGCTCCTCCTCCTCCTCCTCCTCCTCCTCCTCCTCCTCCTCCTCATCCTTCTCATCCTTTGAATCGTTCATCTGGGGCAGGGGGCCCGAGTTGTGGGCGGCAAGCTCAAGAGTGGCACTGCCCCCGCGAGCCATCAAAAGCTAGGCGATGGCCTTCTCCCCCCTTGTCCCGCTCCTGTCCCCTCTTTCCCCGCCACCCTCGCCCCACCGTCAAAAAGGACCATGTGCTGGATGTGACCAGCCAGACCACGAGGCCCAAAGTTCCCCCCATCCCAAAAAGGGGGCCAGGTCTCGGGAGAGGAGCGGCACAGAGCCGAAAGTGGTGCGACAGCTGCAGGCGATCCATGCCATCAGAGACAAGCGCCATCAGCTACTACGCTGGAATCGGCGAACAAACAGAAGCCAACTACACAGGCGCAATCCAGCGAGATGTGGGAGGTAAAGTTGGAGCCCGATCCCATCAGCTAGAGCACTGGGATCAGGGCGTGCGAGAAAAGCGAGCAACGGGAGGCGGCTATGGATCCACTCTGCGAGAAATGGGATGCGCAGCCGGAGACCGAACTTGCCAGAAACAGCGTCGCGTACAGCGTGTGCGTCAAGGTGAGCAGCGGGGGCAGGCTCTGTCGCCATTCCACGAGAGGCAGAAGGCGAAGCTGGAACTCGATGTCGTCAGCTGCAGCGCCTGGGTCAGGGAGTGGCGCGCGAGACGGGCGAACAGCAGGCGGCTCCGACTGCTCTGCGAGAAGCGGGAGGGGGACGCTGGAGCCCGATCTCGTCAACATCAACACTGCCGACATCAACCGATACAGTGCTGGGGGCAGGCCGTGCGCGAATGCCGAGGCATGCGAGGAGGGCAGGCCGTGGCAGCAGGGAGTGGAGAGAGGACGCGAGTCCAGCCCCATCCGCTGCAGCTACAGCGCAGCTCCCGGGGTGGGACCAGCTCGTGCGCAGGAGGCTCGAGCGTGCGCGTGAAGGGCACGGGCGCGCAGTGGGTTGCAGGCAGCGGCGGCAAGGAGGACATTGGCAACAGTTCTGTCGCTGCTCAAATGCTTTTGGCATCGGGCGAGGCACATCTCAGCTAACGCGCAAGGACCAGCACGTGCGAGAAGGCAATAGCCTAGGCGGATTCGTTCTCAGCTACAACCCTTCTGGTGCCTGGCCGGGGACGGCCCCAAGGCCCGTGCATGGACTCGGTCGAGGCGCCGCGTGCGGCCCGTCGATCGAGACGGGCGGGGGCCGTGGCCGCACTCGCCGCGGCTGGCTTGGGGGTGGCTGGAACCAGTGCTCATCAGCTACAGGACCGCCTGCAGAACGGCTCGCGCCCGACCACAGGCCGGCCCCTTGCCGGGCCGAAGGGCTCGGCCGTTGGGAGTCCGGCACGGGGCCGGCCCGCGCGGCCAACCCCGGCTGCGCGACATGCGGGGCGCCTGCCTCTCCGGGTGACTTGCTCCACCGCGATGCCGTCGACCCGTGCAGTCAGGCTGCGAGGGTGAGGGCGCACGGGGCCCTGGAGGGCCGTGCCGACCCCTGTGCGGGCGGGGCGCGGCCAGCGCAAGCGGCCAAGGCTGGGCCGACAGGGAAGGGGGGGAGGCTGCGAGGGGTAACCTGGGCAAGTCGCTCGTCCTCAGAATGCGGGTTGACGGTGCTCCCCAGCGGTGCTCCCCATCCTTTGCCTTCCTCTTCGTCCGCCCTCCTCCTGGTGCTTCCCCCTCCTCCTCACCCCGAAGGCAGACTGCCAGGCCCTCCCCTCGGCCTCGCCTTCGCCGCGCCCTCCTTGCCGTCCTGGCCCTCGGCCGCCTTCTTCTCGACGACCTGCAGGATGGGGAGGACGAGCATGGGGGTAGGGCGAGTGGGAGGGGTGGGGGGGGGGGCAGGATGCAGGAGGAGAGCGCGGGGTGAGAAGGAGGGGTTCGGTGGAAAGGAGGTGGAAGGAGGGGATCGGGCATGGCGAGCTCTGGGGTTCTAAGGTTCTGGCTGGGCCCCGCGGGCGCCCGCGCAGGGGCAAGAGGTCCAGGCAGAGAGGAGGAAGACGGGCAGCGGCCGCCAAGCGAGGGGGGGGGGGGGGGGCGGGAGCCAGGAGAATGCAGGAGGAGAACGCGGGATGAAGAGGGGGCGAAGTGAGATGGCTTATGACATCGACCGTGGCGCAGCCAGCATGGGCAAGGGGAAGCTGAGAGCGATTCGACCCGGACTGGAGATAAGCAGGAGCAGCCCCGGATTGAGGGAGATTGCCCTGACCAAAGGAGGCAGGGAGGGGGGCGGGGGCAAAGAGAACGAAGGAGGACGCTGAGGAAGGAGGTGGGGGGAAGGAGGAGGATGGAGGGATGGACGCAGACGGCGAAAGGATGGAGAGATGGATGCAGAAGGCGAAGGGGATGCGGGAGAGGGGTAAAGGAAGAAAGATGGAAGCGGGGCAGGGCGCGCAGCAAGGGGCGACGAGGAGGGGGAGGGGTCTGGGCGGGCTGCTGGCAGGCGTGGGAGGGGGGCGCGGGCAGAGAAGTGAACTGGGGCGGGGTGTGGGTTCGAGGCGCCTTCCACGTCTGAGCGCTCTTCCCTCCCCCCCCCTCTGCGCGGCCACCCTCGTCGTTCTCCCTCTCGTTCCCGCCGGCAGAGTCGATGTTTCCCCTCGTCGATGAGCCATTCGTCGATTTCCCCCCCGTTCCTCCCCGCTCTCGTCGTTTTTCCCCTCGTCGATGAGCCAGTCGGTTGCCCCGCATGGCCGCGCGCTGGAGCGGATTGCCTCTCCTCCGCCGCCGACGGAGGCAAAAAGCGGGCTCGGGGCGTGGGGTGAACGGGCGAAGAATGGACGACACGTGTTGGGACGCACAGGGACATCCTGACTCTGTATGTCCTCCCTGGAGGCGCGCGTCCGACCCGAACAGATAGTATACCCACCTTGTAGCACATCGTTTCCCGAGCGGTGTGGCCCGAAAGCGCCCGCCACAACGCACGCCCTACATGATTTCTAGGTGCGCGCGTCGCCCCTGGCGGGGCGACGCACATACAGTAGAAGTGTGCTGGGGTGGCGCCGATGTGTGGGAGGATGCCGCAAGGCAGGCGCGAGAACGCAGTACCGCGCGGCGTCCCCGGATCCCCATCGAGGCCTCTGCGCTGAGGGCTCTGCCTCAAGATGCCCCATGCGCCAGGTTCCAGGAGTCCTTCGGCGCTCTTGGGAGGGAAGCGAGCTCTATACACCGACGCTGTCTCTGGCCCCGCACTGGACTACGCACATAAAAGAGGATCCCGGTGTATACGGGACTCTGGTGTATTAGTTTTCTTTGTTTCTCCAGGAAAACGGGGGACAGAGTATACACCACACCACCCCGACGTCGTCCCCGACCCTCAAGAAGTCCTGGGATTGAAAAACGGCCCGCCACTGGTAATGCATATGCTCCAGTTTCGGATTTGGAGCTTGTAGAACACAAATTTCCTCGGGGCCTTGGGAACATGGTGGGGGGTCCATCATTCCCACGTGATCTAAGGTGCCCCCGAAGGGACCGTCCTGTGGCTCCCCGGCTCCCCTGGGGGCCAATCCAAAAGGCCCAAGCAGTGCAGTCACGAGGATCTCAACGAGGCCTCCACCTGGCCCCCAACAATCCCCCCAAAGAGGCCTCCAAGAGGCCGTCCGAAAGACCCTAAGACGCCGCCTCTTGTGAACGACCCAGCTGGGAGACCCCATCAGGTCAATTACACCAACGAAAAACCCCAATCAATGGATGGTTTGAAGTGGGATCGATCAAGAGATCGGTAAGGAATTCGACTAAACCCGGGAACCCGGAACCCACCGAAATCTGCACGGAATCAATAACCAAGAACCCGGGAACCAGAAACTGGGAACCCGGGAACCCAGCCGGCGACCAAAATCGACGGGAAACTTTGACTAAATCATTCAATATCCGCTAGGACCTCTTCAGTGCAAACACTGATTGGGGAATAAGACATCTCGTGCCCACGCCCCAAGCACGGCGTCAGAATGGGCCGACGGCCACTGGATAAAGAAATCACGATCACCATGATCACCGACAACCGTGGAACAACGATGCCAGAGATAAAGAGAGAGAGAGAGAGAGATTGAGCCTGCGGTCACGCACTGTCCTGAGCTCTAACGCTCCAGCTCTAACGTGCCAGCTAAATCGCCGAAGAGCGTGATCACTCCAGGGACCGTTGATATATGCCGACGTCAGAAGAAGACTGCGCACAAGGAACACAACAACAAGCGCGCTGAGATCAACCAGTGCGGAAAACAACGCTCCGCGAGGGTGGAGCAGGAGGAGGCGAGGTCGAATGGTGGCGGAGATAAGACGAGACATCGGGTATCGCGCGAATCCCAGCAGCTCTGCAGGGCGTGAGTGGTTTCAAGAGATTCTTCTTCCAACCTCCTTCCCCTTCGGGGAGGGGGGTACCCCTCTACCTGCCCCCTACCCCTGGACCTGGAGGGGGCGTTTCGCGGGTCGTTGAAGCGTCCGCGATGGCCTCGGCGAGAAGGCCAACCTCACTCACTCGACTGAGAATTCGGCCAAGAGGGCTGCAAGACGGCCCCAGAGGGATCCAGGACGGCCCAAGAGGGTCCAAAGACAGCCCCCAGAAGGGCCCAAGAGGGGGACAACGAACCGATGATCCGCGCCTTCCGCCCGAAGAGGATCCCAGGAAGCGCCAACGAGGCCCCAAGAGGCCCCCACGAGGCGAGACCCGCAAGAGGCCCCGAAGACGGCCCGAGAGGTCCCGACGCGGCCCCCAAGAGACCTCAAAGCGGCCCCCAAAAGGCCTCTGAGAGTCCTCCCGCGACATCCCAGCGAACATCCTAGAGGCGTACGACCCGCAACCCAAGCACGTTGGCGGGGTTGGACCGAAGGCTATTAGATACAGAGTGCGTATATAAATAACAACGGGGCAAGTATGTATGCCAGCGTGGGCCCAAAACAGCGTGCTTCTAGCATCATAGGTTGTGCAATCGATGTGGAACAGTCTAGGTGGTATAACATATATGTGTATAATATATGTATACCTTTATATACATACCTATACATATACACATCGAAAGATAAGAATGGTACATCGATGTGGAGCAAACTATATGGTGCAATCTATGCGGTGACACATACGGAAAATCTATGCTGTGCAAGTACATCTACAAATATAACTGTATATACATATAAATTTGGTGTGCAATATATGTTGTGCAATCTATGTGGTGCCACCTGTGTGGTGCAGTCCTGATTGCGGCGACGAGGCGGCGACGGCGACCGCGGAGCCGCCCGACCGCCAGACAGGCCCAGACGACCAGCGTCGACTAGGCGGCGACGGCGACCACGGAGGCGCCAGTTCGGCAACCAGGCCAAGACGACGAGCGTCGACGAAGCGGGCACGAAGCGGCGACGGCGACCAGGGAGCCGCCATACCGCCAGACAGGCCGATAAGACGGGCGGCGAAAATGCGGTGACGGGGTGGCGACGGCGACCACGGAGCCGCCAGACCGCCAGACAGGCCTAATTCCTTATGACAAACAACTGAGAGACCCTAAGGACAAACACGGCTTGCATGATAAATCTGTTTTGATTCCCACCAGCCCTTTGGGCGACAGGTGGTGGTCTAGGGGTAATTTTTTTTCCTTCCACTACCCCTCTTCCTTTCGGGGAGGGGAACCAGCCCCTAGAGAGCTCCCCATGGTCGTGGCGAGGATGGCGTCGAGGGCTTCGTCGGCTAGAGGCTGGAAGGGGTATGATGGGCCTTCGCATCTTGGGGCTCCTCTTGTTGTGGACTGCATGATCGCGCATGCCGCGTCTGCAGTGAGAGCGGCATTTCGAGACCAGATCCTTCTACCTGTGGGGTTCCTGGTGCCCGTTGGCGGGTTCTGGGCCGAGTACGTCTCAAAGGCTATTAGCAGCCTGTCGGTTAGGTGAGCTCTCGCCAGCACCTGCCTGACCTGTCTTTCCAGCTGGAGCATGGAAGTGCCCCAAACCATGGCACTGAGCACGGTCCTCCACATTTCTCTGTCAGGGCATCCTAGTCCCTCCCACTGCGCGGGGGGGCCACGGGGATCTAGTATTTCTGCGGCGCGGTTGATAAGAGAGCTCCACCTGTGCTCCATGCAAGGCGGTAGGTGTGGTCCTGCTCTGGGGGTGTCTCCCCTTCCTAGTGGGTCGCTGGACGGGTTTCGTGGGACGCTGTCTGGTGGGGGCCTTCTCCTGGGCTCACCGCCGGGGTGGGCCTGCGCTGCCTGCGGGGCGTACCCTGATTCCGAGTTCGGTGTTTGTGCGCGGCCTGCTCTTTCATTCCCCTGTCTGTTGCAATCCGTGTGGGATGTCGGCGGCCGGGGAACCCCGGTACCTTGGACTCCGGGCTGGGGGGAGGAGGTCTCCTGGACCGGGGCGGCTTGTGGGCCGCTCGACGCGGGCTGTCCAGCCCGGTCGTCTATTCGACCGCCCTCCGGAGACTGTGGCGGTGGGGACTGCGAGGCGCTCCCATTTCTTTCTTCCGACCCTGCTCCCCCGTCCTGGTTGGTGTCGCCCTCTGCTCGCGTCGGGGGGGGTGCTGCCTGCAGCCGCGCCCTCTGGGGGGTCTCTGGGTGGTGGGTTGTCGCCGCTGCCCCGCTCAGGATTATTCGGCCGCTGACCTTGTCTCGTGACAATGGTGGCCTGGCCTGGCGAGGGAGGCATCTGCGGTGGTGCCTGCTGGGCGACGGGAGGGGGGATTGGCGGAGGCTGCGGGGCGGGGCGGTCCCGGGTCTGCGGGTCGCCGGTGGCGGCGTTCTGCTCTGCCGTTGGTGGCCTGCTCGGAGTCCGGCTGCGTCTAACCTGCGCCTGCTCATTTTG